ATATATACACACACACACACACCGGTATATAAAATTCAACTTTCTGCTTTGTAATGGCAGACAATCGGCCAGAAAGTGATCAGAGCTTAAAATCATTGGAAAACTGTGAAATGTGATGCTATGTTTCGATAAATAAAATACAATAAAGTACAATGTCGGGATGAATCAATCTTAACACAAGGTGACATGGGGAGGTTTAAACTGATCTAAACTGTTGAAAATATTTCATTCTTAAAAAATTCTTTATCTTGATCCTCAAAGCCATTTAAAATGTCAGTAAATTCCAACCTTGGTCATGCAGCAAAAATAACTAGATATATCGGAATTCCATTAGTGTTATCATTCATTTTGAAAAACTAACAAAACCGAACAAGGTCTTTACTTATATCGCACTTGTTACGTCGATCATCTGTTATTATACGTCGTTGGTTTTCACCTTGTTGGGCTGGTTGACGTCGTAACTGTTCAAAGAGCCCAGCAGATGCTGCAGACCGGGTACATTGTCATCGTTGATGGCGTGGATGATGGCCTTCATCACAAAGGAGTCTTCCTCGTCCTAAACAGGTGGGGGAAAACACAGTGACTCTAAGGCCGTTCAAAGGAGGATGTGATTGTTAATCCTGTGAATTCCTTCTATCACATGCTGACATTAAGTCTCTCTTTCATCTCGATCTAGAGCATCAACCAAAAACATCAGACCTTTGGATGTTAATGTGCAATTTCAACACAAAGTCTCTCAGCACAGACGTGTTCTTCGTTTGTGTCACGACCTCAATGACCTTCAGCATGTCAGTGTATGTGCACCAGAAATGGACTGAGATTGCTCGAGTGCACAACGAGATGAAGGAGGAGGAGAAGGGGAGCAGGATGAGGTGAGGCTGCTGTGTCCTTTGTTCAGTCAAGTGTGACTGGAATCCTGCTACATTCCTCCACATAACCTCAGCGGTGGAGGAGCCAGGACCGAACCAGTGACGAGCAACGGAAAACACAGAGCTGTAGGATGAATGAAGGTTCACGCTCTATTTTCACCAGCGCATAATTTCCACAGGCCAAATTTAACCATTTTCACTGCTTATATTCAATACACATTTGGCAATAGTTTGTCCTGTTTTAATTGCAATTAAATTGAATGCAAATTCATTTTTCAGAAAAACTAAATAATTTATTTTGTATGCCTTTTTTATTTCTTTCTATTTAAACCAGGCCATTAGTCTGATTATTTGTGTCCATGTAAGTCATTTTAGTTAGTGTTTGGCCTGTGTGTGTGTGGGTGTGTGTATGTGTATAAATACACAAACAAACAATTAATCATGAAGCAATGATGGAGCTGCAGTTCAGTTTAAGTCCTACAGAGGGCACAGTAACTTGGATATTTGCCTGCTGTCCCACTTGGGACACAACAAGACTGTCAGTGTTGTAACAACTTTGGCTTTGGTACAATGGTAATGTCCAGTTAATGTTTAATCCATGACACAGACTCTGAAGTGTTTACATCTATCAGGCCGCTCACTGTTTACCACAACACACACACACACACACACAGTCTGGTTTTCATGACTAGTGGGGACTAGACATAATGCCTCACCCTACTAACCTTGGCCTTTACAAAAGCATGTCTATTCTTAATCCTCACCATACCCTAATCCAGCCCTTATTCTAATCCTAACTCCCAAACTACACCTAACACGGCCTAACAAGTATAGCTATCTCTAGACTACATACACACACACACATTCCAAAAATCTGACCTCAGGCCTTTGGGTGGAAAGAAGGAAAAGATCAATTAAGATGAAGAAGCTCTAGATTCTTGTTGAGATAAATCAGCTGAAAACTCTTAATAAAACTGGGAGACAGCAGCTCACACCAAGTTAAACACAACTGAAGTCCATTCATCTCAGGTGGGTTAAAATAACAAACTTTTTAATTAGAAAAAAAAAAAAAAAGTTCTTACCAGAGCGTCATCGCTGCGGGTCACACTGATGTTGCTTCTAGACAGGAAGGAGCGTGACAGACGGTTGCATAAGGAGATGAGACGCACTGATTGCTAGGAGAGGGGCGAGAAGTTAATGATGGTGTCAATTCATTTATGAATTCATCCACCGCCACTCCACACAAAACACCTGTTAATTTACTAACATAACTTCATACGATAACTTCACCAGTTATTAATTATTAAGTTTTAGTTTTATTCTTTTTTTTTAAAAAAAAATGACAAACAGAATCTCTTAACTACATGTGTCAAACCCAAGGCCTGGGGGCCAAATGCGGCCTGCCAAGTCATTTTGTATGGCTCGTGGGAGCATAAAAAGGACTTAATAAAGTCTATAGAGTAAAAAATAAATTTTATTCCACAGCAATGTATTATATTTGTAACTGGAATAAATAATAATTAATTACAGATGTGGCCCCCTAGTTGAAGTGAGGTTGACACACCTGCTCTAAACTAAAAATAATTAGCTCGATGACAAAAAAATGCATTGGAATTTGAAATGAACCAATGACTGAAGAATGATAATAATCAAAGAATATGATTCTTTTTCTTCTTCTTCTGCCTCAGTCATGTGAATGTTTAAGCCAATCGTACGCCTGATAATTCAGATGCATATTTTTCCCAAGTCTTTGCAAATTCATGACCTTAATGTAAAATCAAGCCAGAAGTTGCCAGACTGTGGAAGGCAACCAGGGCGGACAGAGACATGGTGTAACATCATCATCATCACTAAACCATCAAGGACAAACCCCCGCCTCTGCGACAGTCCGGGAGCACAAATGGGTCAGGTCAGTTGTGATGAACCAGAACAGACAAGACAACTGTCACCAAGGCAGTGATGGTGTTGTGGTGTGGTGACTGAGAGGGTCTGCATGTATTTATATATTAAAGGGTCAAATTTTAATAAACCTGTAAAAATGTAGGTCAAAAAATGTATCCTTACTTCCTGACTTGTCCTCCAATATTTGAAAAAGCAGCAGAGAAAAGTACTCACCTTCCACTTCCTTCGAGCTGCAAACGTCTTGAACTTCTCCATGTTGACAGCAGACTCCTTTCTGCTCAGAGCCTGCAGGGTGTCTTTTGGCTGATTTCACAAACACAAGAGACAAAATACTGACTCACTGACTCTAGTTAAGTGCAGTAAAAGGTAATATTAAACTTTCAGTACATGAATGAATATAATATAATTTATTTTAATTACTTTAATAATAAAAAATATTTTACAAAACGACAGATCCTTCCTTTAATTCTATCATTTAATTAGTCATCAAAATGGTCCAACCTTGATCCAGGGGTGCAGGAAGCTGTCCTGAATCGTCATTCTCTTTCTGCAGAGAAAAAGAAGATTTAATATATGACACCATTTGAGAGACAAATAACTACCACTACTACAAAAACTACAAATAAACTACGAATACTACTACGATTCAACTTTAGATGTAAAGAGTGAGGATATAGAGACACATATACTCACATATATTCATACATACATAAAGATATGTATATATTTCTATATATGCACAAACATACATATACATATACACATATACATATATATAGACATACATATACAGTGGGTACGGAAAGTATTCAGACCCCTTTAAATTTGTCACTCTTTGTTTCATTGCAGCCATTTGCTAAAATCAAAAAAGTTCATTTTATTTCTCATTAATGTACACTCAGCGCCCCATCTTGACAGAAAAAAACAGAAATGTAGATATTTTTGCAAATCTATCAAAAAAGAAAAACTGAAATATCACAGGTTCCTAAGAGCACAGTGGCCTCCATCATCCTTAAATGGAAGAAGTTTGGGACGACCAGAACTCTTTCTAGAGCTGGACGTCCAGCCAAACTGTGCAATCGTGGGAGAATATTTCGAGGATCTCCTCAATCCTGCTGACACGTCTCCCGGGAGCGCCGGGGGTGGATGAGATCCGCCCTGAGTATCTTAAGTCTCTGGATGTTGTGGGGCTGTCTTGGTTGACACGTCTCTGCAGAATCGCGTGGCAGTCTGGGACAGTACCTCTGGACTGGCAGACCGAGGTGATGGTGCCTCTTTTCAAAAAAGGGGACTGGAGGGTGTGTTCCAACTATCGGGGGATCACACTCCTCAGCCTCCCAGGAAAAGTCTATTCCAGGGTACTGGAGAGGAGAATCTGGCCGATAGTCGAACCTCGGATTCAAGAGGAAGACACGCTGGAGCGACTACGTCGCTCGGCTGGCCTGGGAACGCCTTGGGGTCCCCCCAGAAGAGCTAGAGGAAGTGTCGAGGGAGAGGGAAGTCTGGGTGTCCCTGCTCAGACTGTTGCCCCCGCGACCCGGCCCCGGATAAGCGGTTGAAGATGGATGGATGGATGGATGGATGGATGGGTCTGAATACTTATGACCATGTGATATTTCAGTTTTTCTTTTTTAATAAATTTGCTAAAACTTCTACATTTCTGTTTTTTTCTGTCAAGATGGGGTGCTGAGTGTACATTAATGAGATCTTTTCATATATTTCATATATATATACAAACATACATATACACATACGTTTATTTCTATGCATATAAACATATACATATATTTCTATATATATACACATATACATATATGTATATATTTCCAAATATATGTACAAACATACATAAACATATATTTCTATATACATGTATAGACAAATATATGTATATATTTCCATATATGTACAAACATACATATACACACATATATATATATATATATATACATAAATGTATGTGTATATTTTCCATATATATGTACAAACAAACATATAAATATATAAATACATACATACACATATATATGAAACAGCACTGTGGGGTGTGTTTTTTTTTACGCAAATAACGCAACAAAATCCTGCATTTTGCTGTCAATTCATAACCACCGAAGTAAAGTGCTGACATATTTTCTCTGAGCAACAACAATTCCGCCACAATATCTCACTTCCTCTATTACAGTTCCATGCTCCTCTTTAACAACACAAAGCGGGCAGTGAGACAGACTTTCAGGAACATCAACATCATGCAAATAAAGCAGATGACTACAGTATACTTCAATGTCTCTGGCCATTTGTATATAACTTCATTAGCATCTCTCTGACAGGAACATGGAAAGGACGTCAGATTTACAATATCAACCGAGGAGAGCTCGGAGGAATAATGATCTCTTTTTTGGTCTTCATCTTCATCATGTTGTTGTTGAGTTACAGCCGAAATCCCAAAGATGATGTGGTTTAAATACAGAAGCCACTTCTCTCTGACTGTTATCACTACACCCTGTGACTTAACCGCCATGATATGACTGACGACAATGAAATATTGTTCTGTGTTTATGGAAAAATTGCAAAACTGCTGGATGATGAAGTGAGTCATTTCCTTTTTCTTTTTTTAGCCCTCTAGGACTAATATATCAAACTGAAGACCTGCTGCCCAAATCTGGTACGTTTTGTAATTGTATGTGGTCCACCAGAGATTACCATGTGCATATATATATATATATATATATATATATAAATATAAATATATATAAATATATATTTACTAGAAATATATTTAGGGAAATAATCAAAATTTGCAGAACAGACTGATTTCATGACCTGCCTCCCATCATCGTGGCAAATGCATCTATCACCAAATACAGCAACATCCAATAAATGAGGATTTGACGCAGAGAGAAGGCAATATAATAAAACTCATAAGGTAGTGTCCTGTTGAAGGAGGACAATTATTCATTGCAGCCTGTTCAAATTTAATTTTCCATTGTCAGCACTAGACTGCTCAATAAGTGTCAATCCTGTTTGGCCCGCAGCTTAGACTGTGTTTTTAATTTCGGCCTCTTGAGTGATTGAGTTTGACGCCCAGGCAATATGTGGCTGGTTACATTTATCGATACATGTCAGAGGACCTGGAAAAAAAAAAAAAAATCTGTTGTTTTTCCCACTGCCTTGCTGGTGTAAAATTACTTCCCCTCCCTCAGCCAGACTCGCTTGTTTAAGAGGAGCAGTGGTCGGTGTGGCTGAGATCGTGTCTGTAAGTGCAGGTGCAGCCTTTCACTGTTGCTACAGCGACTGGTTGGCGATAAGAGCAGTTCTCTGTGCAGAATAACAGGGTTACCAAGTGTCGTTGTGGAAGTTTTGTTAATTTATACAAAGAGCCGGTTTTCACTTTTCTGTCCAGCAGTGTTGCTTTTAAATGAAATGAAAATATTCAGACATGTTATTGAAGGTTCACTAAAAAAGAAATAACACAGATGTTTTCAGATCACAGAAGGTTTTATCACTCAACGTGTTCATAAAAGCATTAGTTTGGATGAGATAATGGTGTTGTTTTATAACTGTATAACGCATTTATAATGTTATTATTGAATTAGTTGGGTTAATATGTAAATATAAATATGTAAAAGATATGTAAATCTGTAAATATATTTTTATATATATATTTAAAATATATATAAATATTAGTTAAATTAGTTTAAAACAGAAAATTTAATTATACATACTTGGATCTAACTTGGGATTTAACAAGAAGCTTTGCTATGAATAAATATATATTTATCTATATATATATATTTAAATATATATTTATATATGTGTGTGTATATACATGAGCTAAATTTGTTAAAAACCGAACATTTAATTATACATACTTGGGATCTTTAACAAGAAGCTTCGCTATGAAGTCTTTGGCCAGGAAGCTGGTGTTGTTGAAAAACTCGTCTTCAAATGTGTAGTCCATGGCCGACACGTTGGCCAGTGTCTCCTGTTTGTTGTCGCCCAGGAAAGGAGAGGCGCCGCTCAAACTACAAGACAAGTGAGAGGATAAGCGACAAAAAATCTGAAATGTCAAATAAACAGTCAGTCAGTCAGAGCAACTGTGACAACTGAATACTCGTTTAAAGTTTATATTAAGAGTCTTTTTTCTGAATGATGTTTTAGGCTGGACATTATCAGAAGTTTAATTTTACGGAAAAAAAAAAACATACAGCTTTGAAGATTAGTCATCATTCAAAAAAATAACCAGTGCTCAGATCACCTCACTGACTGACTCTGTTTTCTACAGTTTACCAAAACACAACAATTAAAAGCATTTCTCCACAGACAGATATTTTATATATCAAATTTACAGTTTTGTAATGACATTTTATCAGGCAGTTTCCCAAAATGGCTCTCTAACGAGACATGTGATGCTGGATGTGATTTTAGTGGTAGACAGCCATGCAAAATCCTAATAAAAGCGCCAAACAGAGCAGAATGTGCTAGAGTCTAATAACATGAACTTCCGTGACCTCAGATGTGACAATTCTCTCTCAGTTTTGACAGATCTGATTATTTCTAAAACCAACCAGAGATAGTGATTTATTCCATTTTTTTCCCTCTCTCATAAACAGGAGACAGACTCCGAGCACCTCTGCTGCAACATCAGTGAATCTCTACTGTATTCTGCAGAGCTGTGACACCTGTGTAGGTGATGGACGGATAACAAATCAAATGTGTATTTGTACTGTACTGTACTGTACTGTACATACTGTGTGTGAATATGTACTTTGCAGGTGTAAGACACAGGCAATTCAAGCAGCACTTACACATGATTGTTGTCATTTAAATCAACACTGTGGCTATTTATTATGCTATAGTAAGGTCATTTAAATTCATTTTAATTGATTTAAATTAATTAATGATTCTGTTTATTCTCTAATGTGTGTAATATAATGCATTTAATGCAGAATGGAATATTCTATATAGCTCATAATTCCAATAACTTCACAGCCACTTGATTGACAGCCCTAGCTCTCATTTACGTAAAAGTCTCTTTGTGTTATACCTGTAGTGTTAGTTACTACGTTGGAGTCAGAGCTTGTGTTCTAAGTATTTAATCATCTCCTGTGGCTGCTTCATGTGCTGTGCAGTGTTTGTGTGGAAGTCTCCTCCACAGATACAGCTGTGTGGGAGCTCAGCAGCTCAACCACAGCAGGAGACAGCAGTTGATCTGCGGTTCACCGAGGCACAAACTTTTACTATGGAATTAACGCCCTGCTGGCGGAGCTACTGTCGACTCAGGCCATAACAATCAGCAGTTCAACAAAACAAAGCTCGATGGGAATGTGAACGAAGCTGACGTTATTTTAGGAATCCAATCGTGGGCTGAAATAAATGATTCGGTGGGCCAGATTCAGTCCCGTGGGCCGCCACTTTGTAATTGCTGAAGTAAAAAAAAAACTTAATCAATGGAAACACTGCTTCAGTCATTGATGTGGAGATGATCAGGATAGAGCCTCTACGATGTCATCAATAATGAGTTAATCATTGTCTTGTACAGTGGAACCTCGAGATACGACATACGAGTATTTCAAGATACGAGTAAGCATCCGAGCAAATTTTTGCTTCAAGATACGAGTAAAGACTCAAGATACCAGCACACTTACAGACGCTGCCACCAGGTGGCCGAGCACTCGGAGCAGCCCACGCTGCTTCACTCATTCACCTCACCTGTTCCGTTCTCATCTTCTGCAAGTCTTCCACATCGTGTTTACGTTATCTACGTGATTTTCTCTCTATTTTGTGCATTATTCTTCATAATAGTGATGAGTCCTAAGAGAGTGAGTTGTAAGGCTGGTGGTGAGAAGAAGAAACACATGATGACCATGGAAATAAAGCAGGAAATTGTTGATAAATATGAGCGTGGTGCCACTAAAGATAGAATACAAATCGAAATTGAAAAGCAAGTGAGTAAGTTTTTTTTTTTTTTTACTTTTCTATTTCTTTTAAAACTGTGAGAGAATTGTCACATCTGAGGTCACGGAAGTTCATGTTATTAGACTCTAGCACATTCTGCTCTGTTTGGCGCTTTTATTAGGATTTTGCATGGCTGTCTACCACTAAAATCACATCCAGCATCACATGTCTCGTCAGAGAGCCATTTTGGGAAACTGCCTGATAAAATGTCATTACAAAACTGTAAATTTGATATATAAAATATCTGTCTGTGGAGAAATGCTTTTAATTGTTGTGTTTTGGTAAACTGTAGAAAACAGAGTCAGTCAGTGAGGTGATCTGAGCACTGGTTATTTTTTTGAATGATGACTAATCTTCAAAGCTGTATGTTTTTTTTTTCCGTAAAATTAAAATTCTGATAATGTCCAGCCTAAAACATCATTCATAAAAAAGACTCTTAATATAAACTTTAAACGAGTAAGTTAAGTTTATGTAAGTTCGTACGTAGTGTACGTGTAAGGTACGGTACGGAATCAAGTGTCTACGTACGGGCCAACTCTCTTTATTCTGTCAGTATCAGAGTCTGAATGATTTGTTGTTTCCAAACACTGACAGATTATCTTTGAATGGAAAAAGTAAAGCAGAATGACTGGATTGCTTTAAATGAAGTGAATTAGTAAAACTGAAGTACATTTTTTCACTGTGTCCCACTGCGGCCTGGTACCAAATGACCTACGGACCAACACTAGTCCCCGGACCGCAGGTTGGGAACCCCTGCCTTAAACCATTAAAACCTTTAAAGTACTGATGTATACAGTCACATTCACACACACACACACACACACACAGAAACAGCTCTAACTTGTTCCTTTTGACTTGTCTGTGCCGCAGGTCTTTACATTATTAACAACAGTGTTCACTTCAACACTGACGTCAGCCCAGCCCTCACATTTCAGCAAATACCCTGCTGTCGGTGCGTGAAAAAGACAACAAATCTATACATTTTTTCTTCTTCTGGTAGGAAATGGTGGCTGCTGCAATTTATATTATTTATTTTTATACTTAAATGGTATTTCCAACTGTGTTGGTGTAGAAGACACTTACAGAATGTACGTTATCACACCGATACTCCTGCAGAGAGACAGAAAAAGTTATTTATATGTAGCATCTGAGCAACTCTGCACTTCACACAACACTTCACACAGCAGCAGATGTTCATCAAAAACAGGCATTAGTAATTTTTTTTTTTTTTTTTAAATCAGCATATGTTCAGGATAGTCAGCCTAGAACAGATAGATGTTTTGTTTTGTTTTTTTTACACTCACCACATGTCAGCCTCCAGGCCCAAAGGTTCATAGTTGACTACCTCTGGAGCTGTAAGGCAGAAACATGAACCAGAAGATTATTTCTATCCAGGTCAATGACACATAATAATATAGATACAACATGCCTCACTTTCTACTCCATAGTGTAATCATTAGTTCCTTTTTTTTCTCTTCCGTTATAGGTTTAATACTGCAGGTGAGGTAAGAGGAAGTTAACACTTTGAGCAGTTCTGTCAAGTTTACGAATATACGGTATATGTAAAGTTGGTGTCATCGCTTTTCTTCTGAAGTGGGTTTCAGCATGACTCTCCATAAAAAAAACATCTAATCCGTTAGCAGCCAATCACGGAGCAAAATGCTGTGACCTCACCAAAATGAATCCAACGTCAGCAGACTTGAACCTTTAAAGGTTTTAAAACTTATGGGCTTTATTCACCTCAGACAGTGTTCATTGATACACTGAGCCCCACCAAGTGGGTTGATAGTGATCATCAACTGGCGGCCCGCGACTTGATTCCACAATTGTAAGGATTCAAGAGAATTTATCATTTGGTCCCCACTATTAATGCCTACAGTTTGTAATACAATTTATATATACACACACACATACTGTATATATATACATATATGCACATATATACATATAGATATATACATACAGTATATACATATATGCACATATATACATATATATGTATATATGTATATATCTATATATGTATACATATATGTATATATGTACATGTACATATATCTATGTATATATGTATATATCTATACTGTATATGTATACATATATAGATATATACATATATTCATATACTGTACATATATAGATCTTCTTCTTCTTTCGGCTTTGTCCCTTTTTTCAGGGGTTGCCACAGCAAATCATTGATTTCCATCTCTCCCTGTTCTCTGTATCTTCTACTCTGACTCCGTCAGAGTAGAAGTACATATATGTGTGTAT